GGAGGTGGAGTAGCTTGAAAGGTAACGACAGTTGCAGTTCCATCACTAGAGATTGGAGGAATAGTAGTGACTTCTGTGAACCTTCCGGACGACGTGATCGTCGTCACGGGAGGTGTAGTAGCGAATGTGATGACGGTTTCTGTACCGCCAGAAGTTGCAGGGGAAATCGTAGTCAACCTAGTTGTATTGCCTGATAAGGAAACCGTAATAGCAGGAGCGGTGGGAATGCCCGTCGAAGTAGTTATTGTTGAACTGATGGCTTCAGTGATGGAAGACTGCAAGATAATAGTGGAGGGCAACGAGGACTGGGAGTTAGTGATTCTGGAAATCGCCTGAATGCTAGTGACTGGAGTAGTCGAGATGGAGCTGCTGGCTGTAATAGGAGGCGTCTTGGAAGAAGCGTCAGTTGGGGTCTCTGGAAGAGCGGTTGTTTCAAATGTAATAACCGTTTCCGTAGCACCAGGAGCAGTTGTGGTGATGGGAAAGACATCAGTGGTAGTGTCTAATGAAGTAATGTCCACGGTTTCCATACTGCCAGAAGTTGTGGGGGAAATCGTAGTCGAAACCGTTATATTGCCAGATTCGCTGACTGTAACAGGAGAAGCGGTGGTTATGAAGGTAATAACCGTATCCGTAGCACCAGGCGCAGTCGCGGGGATTGTAGAGACATTAGTGGCAGTGCCTAACGAAGTGACAGTCACGGTCCCTGGTGTAGGGATAGTAGTGGTTGTGCTCAGTGAGGTGACAGTTGCCGTATTGGATGTCATAAAGACCCCCGTAATGACGGTGGGCAGTGCATCATTCTCTGTTGACAGGAGTGTCGTATGCAATGGAGTCGCGAGAGTTGTGGTCATGGTACCGCATCCTACACAAGGAGGTGCTGCTTGTTCTTCATAACTTTGATAGGAGTCAGAACCGCTCTCCAGAGAGATTCCCTCCGACGCGTATGGCTTATGTGGCAAATGGTCTCCCATGCTGGGGGAAGCTCCAGCACTGGCATCCTGCCTATTTCCCCTATAAGCATCTCCTGGCTCAGTGCCATAGACAGAAGGGTATGAAGAGCCGGTGGGATATCCCTCATCCAGGGATCCGTGGCCTGCACTGCCACTTGAAGAGTAAGAGTCAAAGACAGGACTAGACCTAGTAGCAGAGCCTGGAGAGTAATGTGAGGAACCTGCAATCGTGTACATAGATAGCATTGTAACAGTTTTTGTGATCTCTCTGCCGTGACATCCATCTCGCTTGCGTCGAGAATATTTATGATGCAGATCCGGCTCTTGAGGTAGCCCTAGAGCCAAGCCCGTCGCAACCAAAACAAAGAGATACGTAGGACGCATCTTGTCAGAGAGTAAAAAGTATGGTAAAGATTAAAGAGTGAACGAAGGGGAGAAGATTGAATGAATGGACTATTGATTAGATCCATCAACGAGTTGAGTGAGAACATGGCTATTTATATAAATTATGCAAGTCTTCCATGTGCCAGTTAAGACTAATCCATGTGGGCGATTACGTCTGGTCTACATTTGTCTCTTCGGCTGGGATGAATATGTCTGATATTAACATTGTGTTTCATAGTTTGGACCATTTATTTGCATTAATTTATTGCCTGTGTAAATTAATGATCCCTTTTTGAGACCCGATGAATAGATAAAAAACTAAGTGATAATACAAGGTCATTCTGAGAAACTATGACAAGGACCTTACGTTCGACTCTTTACAAACTGTTTGGTGGCCACTGTTCGAGGTTCCACGAAGACTTCACAATCAAATAATTCATTGATTTCAGACATTAAATAAAACATGCTCTTGCGCCAACCTTGTTCTGAACCAGGAATCACAAAAAAATGATGAAGAGTAAAGCAGTACTCAAGCAGTGATACCATGTGTCAACCAAATACATGTACGGAATCGTTTCGAAGTTTTCTGGTCTCCACCTGCTAATATTCTCCAATTAAATCAATGAGCTTAGAATTGAAGAAAACCAACCGTATCTCCATATTTTGTTACATTTTAGCTATAACTATTGGAACGTTAGGATACTGGTGTTGCGGTATCGTACGGCAGGGGCATCTGGCAACCCACCACAGCCACGATATGGCTGTCGGCTGCCAGCATTTAAACCAGCAAGGAACGTTTATCTATAGCCATCGGACGAAGGGAATAAAGTTCACCCTCTTTCTCTCCGTACGATACGTCAAATACAGAGCCTATTTGCCGTCGCCGCCGGTATACGAAGTGAAATCCATTCGGATGGTGAAGCCATTTCAATAATAACCGATATATTCAGCAATTTTATTCCCATTTAAAACTAAAGTTTTAAGCCTCAAAATAGTTTCAATTTTAGAGATATCAAAAATAAGACAAAATTTAGAATAATTTGCACCCACTGGTGGATTGATTAGTGGCTATGGTTTAATATTGTTAGATGGTAAATCATGGATGCACTGGAGTGTGCTTGAGCACACGGATCAACACCACAGTGTTTAGATAGATGTACGGGACCTTTCAGGGATTGGCCGATTAGCCGAGGCCACCTAAATAAGCGTGCACCTCGTCAAAACTGGAGGCGCAGAACAAAGATCAATACATCATATATCAGACCAGTTTAAGCTCTAATAGAAAAGCACTGCCTTGATCAATAATAATTGGATGATGACAACTGCATCCGGCCCTGATCAAGCCAAATGTGATTAGGATCGCTACTTGTTCACCAGAGGACAGCGTATATATAACGGCCTTCGAAAAGCGATACTTTCTTGCAACCATGGCGTTGTCTGCCGTTGGTTAGCAAAAAGCCAGCTGTTTCGTTATTGGGCCTGTTGAGCCAGAGACGTAGCTTTCAAGGTCCAAATACGGAGCTGTACAACATTGAGAATCGACGTCCGGGAACTGCGTAACACACTACTAGATGAGTAAAAATAATGAGCAAAAACATACAACACCGAGGATTCCCCAGTCGTCACCGACCTGAGTACTGATTCGGCCGTCACCAGTTTGACTAGGGCAGAGCGGACGGGATGCCGTATATTCTAGTGCGTATGGTCGTATGTGCTGAAATATTTGTCAAGTAACTATTATATAGCAGAAATTGGAGCCTCTAACTGATCGCTTCGTAGAACAAGAGTGCAAAATTAACAACATTGCACTCAACCAGGCAAGCTAGAATAGCATTCCGACGATGGATTTTCGACATGGCTACCACGTGGGGCGATCTGTGGCATCGACTCATGTTGCAAGTCTTCCTATTTGGATGCTGTCAAAATACAAGGATTAATGTCGTGAACAGTCATGTATTTATAAAAAATATACAATTCAAAAGAAGCACATTTTCCAAGGTTGACTAACAGAAAAAGCATGGGTAAAAATGTCGCACCATAATTGGATGATGATGACAACTACATCCGGGCCGGATCAAGCCGAATCTGGTTGTCGCATTCCAGTGAAATGTTTGGCATGCTACCACCAGGTAAACTCCGAGGTCCAGGGTACGTATTCTAGAATTGCGGGGCAAGGAGGATTTACTGACGAATCACTGAAGCGAGCTGCGCCCCAGATTTGTACCCTGTCCATGAAACTGCCAAGACTGATCCCGGTTAATGCTGGGAAATTCAGTGTAACGAGCACGAGATTTTCCCGTCATTGAATGTCCATCTCGTCGCCTGTTGGGCCGGTCAAGTCTACCGCCTGCGCACTATTTTACTCAATAATACGACGCTGACTATGCCAGAAAAACGACCGAGGCTCAAAAGAGTAATGGGAATAGATCTGCCGTCGCCCGACACTTGTCCCATCTTGGGACGAACCACCAGTCGTCTGTCCTTGGCCCCCTCGTGTAGGTGGCTCGGGTGGAGACGACCCTCGGGTCGGTCAGCTGGTCGGCGATTCGGCGCTGGGCGAGGTGACGCCAGCGTCGCCCTTTGAGTCTCAGGCTGATTGGGGTTTTCCACTCAGGGATTATACTCACACGCGGCTCTCCAAGGTTCTGCCTCCCTGCAGCCGCTCACTAGTTGATGAAAGGGATCTCGGGCTCCTCTCTTCCACAGTCTCTCGTTGGAGGAAATGCAATCCTTAGGGCCCGAAAGGTCAGACTAGCACTCTAAGTGCAACCTTTTTTCCATCATGGAACGAACCTGGGGAATGGCGCAGAGCCTCCCGAAAGAACTTGTTGCTCCGTTGAATAAGGGGAATCAAGGAGCCCGCGGGACATGTAACGGATAATATATGTGTTCGGCTGCCGCTCTCATCATGTCTTCTCTGGTCACAGCCAGTCTTTCGTTTTTTCCACCCCTCTGAACGGTGTTTCGCCAAGCTTTGTTTCACAAAATGTTGTTCAGAACTGCGCTTCTCAGTACTTTCGCCGGGCTGGCCCAGGCAGCCTTGACATACCGCGGAGTAGACTGGTCTTCGGTCGCTGTGGAGGAGGCTTCAGGCATTACCTACAAGACATCGAGCGGCACTGCCGAGTCATTGGAGAAGATTCTGGTTGCTAATGGTGTAAACACCGTCCGCCAAAGGGTCTGGGTCAACCCATCCGATGGCAACTACAACCTCGACTATAACGTGGCTTTGGCCAAGCGCGCAAAGGCCGCAGGACTCAATGTCTACCTTGACCTCCACTACTCCGACACTTGGGCCGACCCTGCGCACCAGGCGATCCCATCAGGCTGGCCCAGCGATGTTTCCAACCTGGCCTGGGAAGTGTACAACTACACCCTGGATGTCATGAACGCCATGAACGATGCTGGCGTGTCGCCCGTAATTGTGTCAATTGGTAACGAGATCACTGCCGGCATGCTCTTCTCCACTGGAAGCACATCCAATATGTATAACCTCGCCACCATTCTGCACTCGGCCGCCTACGGTGTCAAGGACAGTGACCTGGCCACGACGCCCAAGATCATGATCCACCTCGACAATGGCTGGAACTGGGACACCCAGGAGTGGTGGTACAGCAGCGTTCTCGCAGAAGGTCCCTTGTCGACCTCTGACTTTGACATCATGGGCGTTTCCTATTATCCGTTCTAGTAAGTCCCTTGCTGCGAGACAGTGTCTCAACCCTAGACTTTATTTCCCAGGAGCAACGCTGACATTCTTCGCCTTTCTTCTTCCAGCAACTCGGCTGCCACGCTCGCCAGTCTGAAAACGAGTCTGACAAACATGGCCAGCACGTGGGGTAAGGAGATCATCGTCGCCGAAACCGACTGGCCCACCTCGTGCCCATCGCCCGCCTATGCCTTCCCCAGCGACCTGTCGTCCATCCCCTTCTCCGCGGCCGGCCAGACCACATTTGTGCAAAAGGTCGCCGCCGTTGTTGACGCCGTCAGCACTGGCACTGGACTGTTCTACTGGGAGCCTGCTTGGGTCGACAACTCTTCGCTTGGCTCGTCGTGTCCCTACAACACCATGTTTGAATACCCTGGCACGGCGCTCTCGAGCTTGTCGGTCTTTAGCACCATCTAAGCAGATGCACACCATATGCTTTGGGGAAGGGCATCACTCCTGTTCAATTGCACATAGTAATTTTTCTACTTCTTGTATGATACTTGTGGCGAAAGCACACCTACATAACCACGAATTGTCAAATTGAAACATATTTCGAAAACAGTCAGTGCCAAGTAATAATTCGCCCATTGTGCTTTTTCCCGCCACCCTCTTCTTGTTTTCGCGTCGGGTCAGTGTCCGTCTTTGTCAAATCCATCAAATCTCTGGCGGCAATTGGGCATGTCTCACTCTTTTTAGAACAATGAAGATGAAGAGTAGAGCAATCAAGCTTAGTCAGGGGCAGCCCGCCCTCACTGGAATGTTGGACCGGCAGGAACTTTGCCGCTTGCAAGACAATGAAACCGGCACTTTTTGGTCGGATGGACGACCGCTGGGCATGCGTTGGAACCGTTGCTTCTCTTCCTCAGAAAAATCAAACAGCCAGACCCATCAACATGAGCCAATAATGGAGGGTTTGTTCTCGTAATCTTTCATTTCTAACCATCTGCTCTGCTGTTCAATCGCTTCACCCTCACGAGGTTCAAAGAGGATTCTTTCAATCCTTCGGTGTTTGGGCGTCTTTTCTCCTCTTTAGTTGTCAGTTTTGTACAACGAGGTATGATGCCGTGGTTGAGGGATATTACCTCCGAGACGGGGATGCCCAGCCCGTCGAGGGCCCAGGTCACGACATCGCCGAGGATCACGACGCCGGCAACGGCCCACGCCCAACATTTCAACACGGAAGATTTCATCATGGGCCCAGATACATGTGGTTTTACCACGGGGACGACGAGTAAGAAACTAGATTGCCTTCCTCTGCCGATGCCAACGTAGGAAATTGAGACTAACTGCAAGTTATAGTCACATGTAGCAATCCATCCGACTACTGCCAGAATATTGGCCATTATCGTGGCTGCTGTGCGGGTGAGCTCGATCAGTGCAGTGCCACAGTCTACACAACATGTCAGGAAGGGTTGGCCGATGCTTACCAAGCTCATGTTTTGTATTGGTAGGTGAAATTGCGATGGAAAGCAGCGTTTCTTCATCCCATTGCATGCACCTAAAGTTGATTTCATTCCTGACCTTGACCAAAAACTCCAATAGCACCGGTGACTCACCAGCTTGTATGACGCATTATTTCACCACGGAAGACAGCCCCGGCAGCACATATACCAACGTGGCTTGCGGGACGAGTGATGTGTTTGGACAGCTGTACCCATATCCGCCCGAGTTGATGCCCACGACTTCGGCAGCGGCACATCCGAAAAACAGCACCACGCCCTCCTACGACGACGATTCAAATGGGAATAAGCCTGTATCAACTGGCGCAATAGTTGGTGCCATTGTCGGCGCCATCGTCCTCGTCATCCTGCTCATCATCTCCACAGTCCTGATTGCGAGGCGAAAGAAGCTGCAAGCGCACCTCAACACTTCTGCCGCGGCGGCGGCCATGAATGTAAAAAATGGAAGAAAAGTCGCATCGGACAATCCGGACGCCCTCCCTGCCATGCCGACCAGCGAGGCCGCCGAGGCAGAGCGCCGACGGCGTCTCCGCCTGTCCACAATTCCGGAGGCCCTGAGCCCCACATCCCCAACGACTTCACGGGGCGCCGGGTCGCGCTTCAACCGAAAGTCGGCACGGCGATCGTACGGACCCAACTGGCCGCTGGGCTCAGCCGACCCGCTCGAGTCGCATCCGATGCCACCCCCGCCCCCGCCGCCGTCAACGCAGCAGACCCCCGATCCGGAAAAGAGGACCGGTATCGAACAAGAGACAGCAAACACACCACAGATCCAAGCCCCGAGAATGGTGCCGACGCTAAATCTGCCCACGCCGCCGCCGCCCACAGCAGCAGCAGAAGGTCACAAACCATCTTCCGGAACCCTAGTTCCACAGCTTGAAATGGAGCCGGTAAGCCCCGTGGATGACGACACACAAAGCATCCGCGTTTCACCCATTACACCCGACTCGACACGGGTAATGCTCACAAGTCCACGCCTGAGCTATCACCCCGTGAGTCCCATGGACGCGGCCTTTAACGACGAGGTGGAGAGGCGGGTGAGCCGGCTCGAGGGCGCGGGACCACCCCCTGTGCTGTCAGCAGGGAGTGTTGGTGCTGACCGGTCGGGCGAGGTGTCGCCGATTGATGGCGACGACAATGGTGGCGCGCATCCGCTTGATAATCGGCTCAGTCTCATTTCCGTGCCGACGCGGGGCCAAGATGGCGCTGCTGCGACAAATCTGGACGAGATTGTCAGTCCCGTGAGCCCCGAGGATGAAGAGGACAAGTCCGGGCCGGGGGTCACCGCAGAAAAGAAGGTTGACGACAAGGAAGAAGAGAGCCAGAATGCGGGTGAAGTGAGCCCCATGTCAGTAAGTCCGGTTGAGAGCCGGAGAAGTAGTTTGTGGAGGTAAGAGATTTATGGAATTCTTGTACGGAGCGACCAGGACATGTGTGGTTTTCTTGTTTCAGAATTGATCTGGCCAGGCCGACTGGAAATTGCAGCGGACCTCAGTTGGATCATCATGTTATGGGCGACTTTGCGCATTGCAGATACTCTTCTTGTACCTCACTATTTTGAATATTACCATCTTGCCATCCGTAATGAAAAGTTGGCTTTTTCTGCTCTTGTGTCACAGTGGCGCATTGAAAGCGCTGTTTTTTGTAAGATTGCGGCTCTGTGTGCCTATCAGTTTTCGAGAATGACATGCACTAAGATGAAATTTCTTCTCTTGTATTGAACTCGTTCAAACAATTATTACAAAGAGAAAAACAAAATTGGAGCTAAGCATGCCGTGCCCAAGACAACTTATTTGCTACATGGACTGAACTAGTTTTACTCGATATATACAACCCTCAGCCATGTTTCTCCGGCATCTTACTCGTATTGGGAGCCTGCAGAGCTGCCGTCAGAGTTTTGAAGCGCTAAACCCTTTCTTTTGAGCTATTTCTGAGCTCACATTCATTCTGACGGTATTTTGTTTCCTATTCGCCTCTAAAGGTAATTGGAAAGTAATGACTTATCTCTTTTACTAATCTGAATTGCTTAAATGAGCGGTGAATGTTCCAGAAGGGTTACACTATTGCACAGGGTCAATGTACGACGTGAAACGATGTAAGCTATACCAAATCTAAAGTCCATCCTCGGGATCCGCAACCCAAGTGCTAGTTTTCTGTTTCAAAAAATCATTTCTTCTTCAGATGTAATTGTGTCGATCAGCGTGCCCTCTGGCTCGAAACTCCGAACCATCAAATGGGTAGAAACTAGGTATCCATGCCATTAGGTCATTGAGCTGTCCGAATCGATATAAAGTGGCTAGCCCAAGCCACCTGCGAGGATACAGTTTCAGCTCGGGCTCTTTAATCTGCAGAATTTGTACGCCAAATCAAGACGTGGTCCATCAAGATTCTCAGCTTGGGTAGCATTCACATTTCCGTGCCGCCGTGATCACCACAAGAACTGTCTGGCTCGAGCGCATACTGCCTATACGATAGATCACATAGTAAGGTAACAACAAAGTCCTTGATCATCGTGGCCAATATCTGATGCTCCTGAGTCCTGATTGCTTTTTCTTGTGGCTCTTCGTGCGGCTGAACTCGCAATGATCTCAGAATACTGCGTTTCTGTGAGCATCTTACCGTTTGAGGCCGTGGACCGTGCAGTAGAGCGGTGAAGCCTGCATTAACGCTGAATCCAGGTGCCAATCATTCCTCGTTATGGAATTCGGCTGCACCCGCCTCCTATGCAGCCGCCAAGAGGAATCGCATGCAGCAGATCCACTTTCTTCGACAGAGATCTATTTCTTCGATTGGATCCTAGGTATATAACAGCAAAGCAGATGGTGACGACCGTGAACATTGCGTATCGAAGTTCATGGTCAAGCCTTACTAGATCGCGAAAGTACAACCAACACTAACACCAAAACACACATTGGATCAGGTCACTCCCGGCCAGGATGCAAGAACCAAATATCCCAGGTGATTCGCCATTGAAATCATTATGAATTAGATCCAACAAGCTGACACTACTAAGACCATGATAAATATTGGGCCGACAACGAAGAGCTGCAAGGCAGAATAAGGAATTACCATGATTGGGCCCAATCTATCCTCAATAAGACTGAAAGCCGTCTATTTGGTCCGGAAATCAGACATCCATGGATGAAGAATGAGCATGACTTGAAATCGAGGATCAGCATCTTCCAGCTTGAAGGCGAATATTGCTGCGAAGGTGGTTGCAAGTTTGAAGAGGCAAGAGATATGCTCAAGCATTGGAAAGATACACCAAAAGATGGCTCATCCGAATCCATCAACCGACGCGTGATCCTAGTTGAGGGCATGCATCCTAGAGTTATAGAACTTTTGGGCGTTCTTTTGAAAATTCCCCCTCATTTTTTCCTGGCCCATTGCAGCGAATGGGTAGATCTTCAGTTCATCGATGCTGCGTATTCAAAACAAGACGGCTCAACCTACTGGAAAGTTCCGATACCATGTCGACTGTCCATTCCAAAGGGATTGAGCCCGGGGAACTACCTCTTCGAGGTGGCAGCACTCTCCCGAGGCGAAATTGAAGTTGAACAAGACACCACGGACGTTGAATTTCGGAAATTTGTGTCATATTGGGGCGCCAAGCACGGATCTGGATCTTGGACTGGTACGTAAAGCAAATACCTTTTTCTTTGTAGTTCCTACTAATTTCTTGCTTTGTTAGCTGTCCTGTTAGTAGAACCATTTGACACATGGATGCATCCGAAGAATGATAGAACGCGACGTTTCAAACTAAATTATCCATCACACGCGAGGGAATATCTTTACGAGGTACTCCAGACGGGCATTGAAGCCGATAATCAGCAACTGTGTCAGCCAGCTCGGCGCAGTATATACGATGCCGCAGTTACAGCTCACCAACAAGAGTCCGTGAAGACAACGGAAAATCCCTTTTCCGGGACCTTGGTGGTGCGAAACCTAATCCGATCGGCTTGGGAACAAATAATACTTCGTGAGGCTGCAGAAGTCTATGATATGCGTTTATATGATAAATTAAATTACGAAGCGCGGCAAAATAGCGCCGTCAACAAAAGCGCAAATCATTTATCCCAAGAGGCAGATGCCAGCCGCGCATATCATTCTTTAATGTCAAAACGCCAATCCATTCAACGATTCCAAAATTTCGTCGAGATCATCATGTGGAAATTCCGATGCATGGGTATATATGACTTCTCGTAACGAAGAGCTTGGCTAACGAGCGGCAGGAGACCTGTCTGGGGTTAATCTGCAAGAACCCGAATCGAGGCAAGAAAGACAATCATGGATGATGCTTTCTAATACCTTGACTAAATTCGAGTCGACTTTCGCTAATCACATGGAGATGTGGTCGCAACGCGCAGCCCTGGAACAAGCAGCAGCCGCCAGTAGGTCAGCGCGGACTTCGGGACAGCTGACCAAGATTGCCACCATCATTGTTCCATGTTCATTTGTCGCATCGATATTTTCGATGGGTGGAGAATTTGCCGCGGGAGAAGACTTATTTTTTGTTTATTGGGTAATTTCCATACCCGCAACCATTATGCTCCTTACTTGGATCCTGCATCACGATATTCATAAATGGTACACGCAGAACAAACAGTCATTCACAATCAAGACTATTGGTTTCCGCAGCCACAAGCCGGTGAAGGATGCGGAAAAGGGGAGCAAACTCAATTGATCCAGTCAGCAAGTTTCAATTTGCCATACCCAGATATAGCTAGGTAGCTAGAAGATTGGCAATTGTGCGGGCGATATTATCTGATGATGTGAGGCAAAGAGCCTAATTGCTACGCCACAAATGGCCAGTTAATGTGTCTATCCGTTTACAGCCGCGCACGTTAGCATCTGATTTGGGAAAACCCATATTTCAAGTTTGTCTCCTCTGTCTCTTTGGTATGGTTTCATTCGGTGAAATGTATGAGAAGTGATGTGAAATCTAGGAACCAATGCAATACACACTCCAAGAACTCAGGATCTTGTCTTGTCGTCGCTTAATTTTCTTTGCGCAGGTGCTTAATATAACTATCATGAATTATCCGCATCCGTTTCATGTAAATATCATCAAGGATGGATTGAGTTATGTGCGCAGCACGAATCACGCGTTGAGCAGACGGAATTCTCCATGGGGTCGATCAGAAGCGCCCGCTTGAAACCAATGCGGATTACTATTTGGTACATTTTGTTGCCTTAAATGAGATGATAGCTGACACTGTATGACTTTGACAAGAGGAATGTGCAGGTTAGGAAAAGTGAGTTTATAGGAGCAGACTACCCGTACATGTACACCAAGCTTAAGTAAATGGTCAATTGAAGTGTAAAAACATCACACGATGAAGTAATTCATCCATCTTTTTCATGGCCACGTCCTTTTTAGCATCAAGGGTAGCACTACGGCTGGCTGTCAAGGCTTGATATAATGTATAAGACAGATGGTCACGTGATGCCGGCATACCCCAACTAATGTATGGTTACATTAGACTCGCTGCCCCTCGCCACCCACTACTTCTGTTTCAGTTCTTCACACAGGCACACGACTATGACCACAATCAAGTGCAGTGCACCCATCGCATTCCGTAAAACGCCCATCTCCCGTCGGTATCCACAGCCCAAGAAAGCACAATGGAAGGCCAAGGGGATTTTTCACTTCTTCGACCTCCCTGCTGAGATTAGACGCTCGATTCTGGAGATTCTTGTTGATGATGCTAGACCCCATCAGGTGGTCAATCTCCTCTACGCTAGCCGACAGCTTTACCGGGAGACCGCTGAGCTCTTCTATCGCGATGTCACCCAGATTACGACTAATCTCCCAGACAAGCCCTCCTTGTATCTGGCTGGCCGTACCACGGACTTGAGTCAGCGGCTGTTTGTGCGCAATCTGACCATTGAGTTCAAGTTGCAGGAGCATATGCACATTTTCCAATCGAGATATGCCACAACACTCCGGGCCATGGTGGACCGGGGCAAGCTTAAGCAGCTGATTCTAGAGATCCACGGCCGGTTCCCTTCGTCGCAGTTTTGGGGCATGGACAGTGACGCGTCCACCGAGGAGGTCGAACTCGTGGGGACTGGTACGCGCAAGGGCCAGGCGCCCATCATAGCACCACGATTCGTCGCGGAGCCGGGCTTTCAGAGTTTCCTCCAGTTTCTGCGCGAAGCCAACGTCCAAGAGATTAGACTGCTGGTCGATGCCTACGACCACCATGGCTTTTGGTGCCGATTCCATCGCCAGCACCCCAACGGCATTGCTTGTGATGGCGAATGGAAGGGGAAAGGGCGACGGACGCTAACGGTGAACTGGATACAAGCCGTCAAAGCGCTGAAGGGACTGCAGATCGTGGGCTCCGTGGTGAATGAGACTGGGGGGCCCTCTCATGGCAACATCAGCAGATAATGTCCGTGATTTCTTTTTATTTTTGGCGTATGGGACTTTACGTGGGAAGCAATCATTTTATTTGTTCATCACTGCTTTGTAATGGTAACACAATGGCCGGCAAGATTGGTATTGCCTCCATGACCTAACATCAATAATGTTTCAACGTCTAAAACCCACGCACACTGAACGGCGCATTCGGGTTCGCCATCATCTTCATAATACCAGCGTACAAATCTCTTCTGGCAGCATCAGCCTTGTGGTTGTTGACGGCCAGCTCGCCTACGGGGATCTCATCCTTGCCCTCCTGCAGGCCGGCCCATGCCCCATCGATAAAGGCGTCGAGCGGCATACCAAAGTGGCCCTCACCACGGGCGACGAGGTCGGCCTGTGACGAGTGCAGGTCCGTCTGCACGGCGGGCGGGATGATCTCGACCACCTTGATGTGCTTGCTGCCCTCGTGGTGGGCGAGCTGTGCCCGCAGCGTCCACATGATGGAGTGCAGGGCCGCTTTGGTCGCGCAGTAGTTGGCCGGCCGCGGGATAGGCACGAATGCCAGGCCCGAGGTGACGGTCATGAGGCCGACGGGCTTGGGGGCCTGCGCTTGTAGGTGAGGCAGGAAGGCCTTGACCATGGCAATGTACGACGTGTAGTTTGTGTTTAGCTCGTCTTGTACCGAGCTCAGGTCGATGCTCTCGGGCTTGGTAAAGTCCAAAGTCCTCTGCACGCCCGAGTTCAAGATGACACAGTCAATGGATGGGTGTGCCTTGACGACGCTATGTTTTCAAGAGTTAATATCGTTCTTCGCGGAAGGAGTTCCCTTGGAGAGAACCACACTCACCTGGCGGCCCAATCCTGGACCCCGTCAAGGTTCGTAATGTCAAATTGAGAGGCAGCAACCTTGTCGGCGCCGTGCTTGGCCACGAATTCGTCGAGACGATCCTTGCGGCGGCCGGTGCCAATGACAAAGACGCCATTTTCAATCATGCGCTCAGCCAGGGCAAGTCCAATGCCCGAGGTGCAGCCGACCATCAAAACGGTCTTGTATGTGAAAGCCATGATGTCTCTGAGTTGTCAAGTAGGTTGGATAAATGTCTCGTCAAGGTTGGCCGCGAATTATTGGCGTTCAATGAATTTGTATCAAGCTATGTTGCTTGCGTGATTGGTGAGTGGTTGAGATATTGTATTTGCCTTGGCCACGAGCGAATCGTCAATATATACTATAATTCTCGATAATCACCTGGGCATTCAACAACTGATAGGGATATACCAGGACACTAGGCTCCGCTAATGATGAATACTCCATGACATAATACAAAGGAAAAAGCCCCCACCTTTAAATCCGGCACTTCCTAAGCTAGGGCATTCCCTATCGCATTACCCCTTTCGGATCTATGAGTAGAATGGATCTCGCGCCCCGACGCCTCATTAAATCCGTACCTGGGAACAAAACAGCCCTGAGGGTTCACCCGCGTTTCACCCACGCGGCCCGCAGCCAAGCATTTCTTAACCCCAGCTTTCTCGCACGGGAGGGTTTCTGGGGTTTAGCATTCGTGATTTGTCCGTCCAATTCCACTTGATTCCTCTCATGCAATCAAGTCTATGAAGAAGGATCTTTGCTGACAATTGTTCCGTCGCCTGTTTGAAGATTAATCTCCGCGGGGCATTACAATTGTTGAACGACATGCACCCCACCAACCCCTCCACAAGACGCGATAAATCCGACGACTGCAAACACAACTGCTCTCACACGAGACTAACCTAGATGACTAAACACCACCTTGGATTGCAATAAGGTTGACTTGGAGTGCTTTGTGGCCAGATTAAATATAGCTACAGACTCTAGGGAAAATCAAGATAATCGCCAAGTACATCTCCCTCATGTAGCAGCCACCTATCGGCCACTAAACTTGTCAACCTTGACCGTCCGACTCTCAGCGTCGCCAAGAAGGACCTTGGCGATCATGTGGCCCGCCGTCGTACTCGAAGTACCCTTGTAAAGCGTATACTCGCCCGCGGTTCCATATGCGGTCATGGCGACGGTCTCATTGACAATCTGCTTGACAAACAGGCCGTCCACGGCTGTGGGGACGTAGAGAACCGCCGTCATGCTGCTGTCGCCCTCGGAGTCAAGCGATGTGAGCGCTGCCGCCTTGATGGTAAGGGACCGGCTGCTGGAGCTCTGCTTGGACAGGATGAAGATTTCATCATTGATTGGATACGTCTGGTCTTCAAAGTTGAGCTGCGTGGTGCCCGGCGACGCAATCGTGCTGTTGAAACTCCAGTACTTGGTCTTGCCGAATAGAGATGTGCCGCTACCCGAGCTCGTGCCCGTCTTCTGGTCCGCCGAGACGACGACGCCGCCCGCGTCCGACGTCGTGTAGGTCACGGTGCTCGGGGGCGAGGTGTCGGTGTACAGGTTTCTGATTGAACCAGACACGGACACGTTGCCCGCAGTGTTAATATCGAGCGCCACGTCGACGGCCTTCCAGGTCATGGGTACGATGGGGTCCGAGAGCTGGACGTCGGCCGGCACGGTGTCAATCATGCGCTCAAAGAGCGAGAGACAGGTGGCCTGGAATGCCGCCTCTTCTGAAAGGGCCTTCATGGTGGCATTGTTGTCGGAAGAGTACAGGCGGAGATCGGAGCGGTCTTCTTCATTGGGTGCTGTAACTAGGAGACCACCCTGCTGTCCCGTTCCGTTGAGACTGTGCTACTGTCAGTATCTGCTCTTTTATGGATGTCTCCTGGTTGTCTCGTATGCTTACTACTCGTTGACGACGCTGGAGTCGAAGTCGGCCGGTGTGTCGTCGAATCCCACTCCGCCGTTCAGACTATGATACGGTTAGATTCAGTACCCGCAATGCCTGGGGGCAATATGGAACGCGCAGGCACACTTACTTGCTGTTACTAACGGCACTTTCATCAACAATTTCGGGAAAGTTACTGTAGTGGATACGCCCAAGAGAATGACCACATGCTCTGTGAACTTACTATTAGCATACAGGTGTCAAGGCATTGTCATGGGCCCACTCACGTCAATATGATCGTTTCGGACTGAGAAAAGCCTGCAGCCGCAAACTGATTGAGAGTCGTCTCGAGGTCTGTCGTCGGCTCTGGGACTCCAGAGGGCCCAGCCTCGAGGGCATCTTTTCTGCCCGCGCGGAGATTAATGCCGCCTACGGTAGCTCCGCAAGTTGACAATGATGCAACTAGACCCTTGGAAGACGGTCAGCAAAGTCAAAAATACACGAATCATGGTTCTTACCAGTGCAATGTTGTCTGCCATACTCAAATAGGCGGTTATTGTCTGGGCGTGATACTTAGTATGGTAGTATGATGCCCCGGGCACAACTCAAACTCACTGGTCCCATCTGTATATGATACGATTAGTATGTAGACTTAACAGGTCTGGATTGTTTCTTTATTTGCAAACTTACAAATCTTAATGTGTCTTCAATAAACTGTCCAGGATTCTCGGCACGGTCGCCTTCATAACCAATAGAGCCGTCAAGACCACTATGATCAGGCGGTCAGTAGCATGTGGGAGAACTTGACTTGAGTTGCTTACCCAGTTCCAGCAGCAAGATCAGCCGTAATGGCATCGTGAAACGCCATGCGGACCCATTGGGCAGAGCTTTGTTCACCTCGTTTGCTGCCGCCACTGGCAAAGCCAACATAGTTGCTGCAAGGTGTCACGGCATTGATGAAGCCGTCGCTGTTGGTTCCAGAGTTGTCCACTAGGACGTGCTCCATTTCCTCGTAAATGTCACGAGGGTCGATGCCATTATAGTATGCCGATGCCGAGCTCAAAAGGAGCTGGGCGACGGGAAGGACTTGGGAGAGAGAGGGCATGGTGTTAACGAGAGTTTGACTTTAACGATTGAATGGCAGTATTTCTGGGTTGCTCTGACATGACCTTTCAAGGCTGAGTCCTTGTCTGTTATATAGAGCAGTGAGCAACAACACTGAGCACTTTCAACCCATATCGTGAAAGAGCTGAAGAGCAAAGCCCACAAGGTTGCATTCTCTTGGGTCCAACACCAATCAGTATACTTGCAGGATGCAGCTCACGCGGCTTACCGCGGGTGAGATGAACCATGAAGACGCGCTTTCGACACTCGACATGAAAGCGATAGCATCTTATCGCCAAACGCTTTGACACTTTCCCAACAGCCCGGTGATGGAGACCGAAATACCGACATGTTCACCAAGAGTGTGCTGGCACGGGACGTTGAAAGTGGTCAGCAAATCTCGCTATATGCTGGCTATACGCGCGTTTGGCCAAATAGTGCCTTCTTGGCAGACCCTTGAATACTACCGTCTGCATGCAGGTTAGGGATGACGGTGGCAATGGGTGGCGGCTATTAAGAAATGTATTCTGCGAAATGGCTCTCGTCGAATGGTAGCAAGACGTTTGTAATAGGTTTTGTCACAAATTTTGGAATATGAGCGACATTGAGTATATCGCCGGGCGAGCTTTGTTGAGACTAACCATGATCTGGGCAGGTTCCTGCGTTTCCCCGGACAAACCAAGACCCACAGTATAAGAGTCCGCCATTGTTGCGGTTCTCATCGTGCCCTACCTGACCTATACGGATTGCTGTCCGCAGTTTTAAGCTTAAGTTCAAGCTTGGCTCAGCTCCTCTTGAGGGATTCTGCGAGTTGCCGATCAAGTTGCCCAATGAAGGAGGTGAGCCCGCACCTACACTACATTACATACATGCTCAGGAACCGCGGACCCGTTGAACCGGGACACCTCTGTGCTATTTTACTTTTACATGTACTTTCAAAGACAGACAGAAACTTGTCCAATCAAGCTGTTCCAGTTGCCAATAGGTTGATAAAAATAAAGATAAAAATGCACATGCGAATGAAATCGGAAAGCGGCACGGTCTTCTATGATTGGCCACTTCGTTGCAGCATGATGCAAGGTTCAGGGGCGTACATCGTGTTTCTAGGTATTCTAAATTCTAGATCGTGGGAAAAACGGACTCCAATTGCTGCGGTTAGGATACGGTGCTGTGCTTGCAGATTATCATGAATGAGCACCAGGTTATACAAATGACACCCAGCCCTACCGTGAAATTCCCACCTCTAACCTTTTGGCATGTCCGAGATCCGATCTTCAGGGCCACCTATAGTATCTCCGGACACCCACATTCCGAGAAAAAGGTCCGGAGCCATTCAGAACCTAGAGTGTGCGAAAAGCCGGGCAGACAGGGACAATGTTGGATCTGTCCGCGTGGCCCCGAGTGGAGCCCAATATCGATATCCTTGCTTTTTTGCTGGTTTCGAGAAAGCGAGAAATTGGAAAGACAGTCGGCCGAGAAAACAAAATGGAAGGTCGTCCGTCTGTGCAGGGTCGGTAGCGCCTGTTTATAGGCCGCGCTTCCGCTGCGTACCCCGGAGGGCGCTTGACTGGTTTGTATCTACGGTCGAAATCATCCATATATTCTCCGACAGGTTGTGGCTGGACTTGACATGTAAATTACGAATTTTCACAAGAGAAACCAAAGGTGGCTGAATGCGCAGGTGACTCTTCTAGGTAGCAATGAAGCCCGCATCTAGAATTAGACACCCGGAAGTACGTCGCCTGCGAATTTGCACAAATTGTCATTTCTTCCTCGATTGCATGGAATGTGCACTGCTAGCTAAGCTCTACTGCGCAGTATTACCGTCGGTAGACGACGCCGGAAGAATGGCAGGCACCAAAGCCGGGCCCAACAAAAAGCCCCCGTCCATCTACAAACCAACGGACGAATTGCGTACAAAGTACTTCCTATGGATAGGATACCTATCAAAATTGTGATCTATCATGAGTTGAAAGACTTGAAGAAAAGAAAGGCGAAGATAGAGAAAAGCAAGCCATCCAAAATGTGACGGAATCCCTACAAACTTGCAGGAAGCTTGGGCTTTCCGATGCACATAGCGTTAGCTTAGTGTATGTACCTATGTAGTGTAAATAGTTGCTGCCCCGCGAAAGGACTGCGAACTCTACAAAACTTATACTCAAATTGCAGAGGATAATTAACCATCCAAGACACCCAATTGGCGCATTCTCACCATCATGTCTGCCAACGAAAATGTCGAGGTCAAGTCTTCGGGCAACAGTGAGACTGGTCGAGGACTTTTTGCCTCAAAGGACTTCAAGCCCGGAGATGTTGTGCTCTCTGTCGACCGCCCTCTAGTGGCCGAGCTCGACATGGATCGCATGAGCGATAGTTGCGCCTGGTGTTTTCAACGTGGCGCAACCGACCCAATGGAGCGCCAGTCCTCGGCTGCCATGGGCCTTCCGGCTGGCTTCATCGAGTGCAAAGCCTGCAGCGGGTGTCGACGCGTCTCGTACTGCTCCAAGAAATGCCAGAGCAAGGCTTGGAAGGCTGAGCACAAGTACGAGTGCAAAGTGCTGGCCCCTAGCGAGCGGCCTGCCCTGCCCGACGCTGTTCGAGCCGTCATCAAACTGCTGGGACGCCTCAAAGCGGAAGGTGACAAGGACGGCAGAACAAAGGAGCTTTTGAGCTTCTTTCCATTCGCCGGCGGTCAGGGCCTGGAGGAATTTGCCCGACGGGACAAGAAGCTCTTTGATGATTTGAGCATGATGGGCTTCGCTGCGTGGAAGTATGTCGGCGAACCAAATCTGCCAGGCGTCGACTCGCAAAATATTGCCAAGGCTTTCACTTTCAACGTATGTACCCGAGTTTCGAGCCTGATATTGTCCGTATGTGAAGCTGACGCAAAAACGATTGGTAGATTCTATGCAACAAATTTGGCCTCAGCTCACCGCTGGACGACACCCACCTCGGCATTGGGTTTGATCCTCTAATCTGCACCTCAAACCATTCTTGCGATCCCAATGTGAATCTCGTCTTCAATCAGCCGACCACAGTCCTAAGAGCGCTCAAGCCAATCAAGAAGGGAGAAGAGATATTAATGAAGTATATTGATGTCACAAATCCCTACAGCGTAAGGCAGGCTGAGCTTAGCGAAACCTATCACTTCACCTGCAAATGTTCAAAGTGCAAGAAGGGAGCTACCGACAGGGAAGATATCTTTTCCAAGCCTGCAAGCGAACTTTCGAGCGAGTATCGCAAACGCGCTGATGCCCTTGTGGCTCGTCATGAGAAGCAATTGGCAAGATTCCTCGTCCCGGGAGGCAATGAGGCTGACCAAAAGAGACTGGCGGCCCTGCAGGCAGAGGCCTTTTCAGTCTCAGGCACACTTACAGATGTCAGGGACCCCAGTCTGGAGGAGATCAAGGACACACTCAAAATGTGCATTGATTCTGGACTTTGGACGTGGACAAGACAGCCGGTGCCGCGACTGTGCCATCAACTCTTCGCCAAGTACATCGCAACCGGTGACCCCTACGGAGCCTTTAGGATCGGCCTGAAGTTGTATTTCGAGATCTCTCCTAGCCTTTACCCTCAGACATTTTCATCCGACAGGCTGGTCGACTCATGGGCCATGTCGACGGTTACCAATGTCCTCTGCGGCCCAATGAGTAAAGAAGTGTATGACGAGTTCATGCAAAACGGCGTCGACCTGCGCATCGCGTATTTTGGCTTTCTCTTTGCCGTTCATGATGATATGCCAAAGATGTTTGGCGTGGATTCACCATTTGGAAAAGTCGTCGAGAGCACATACAGTCAAATCATGGCTGGTGTCACCATCCACGAGTCAGAAATCCGAGACAAGGTCAAGACCTTGTGGCCATCACTGGAGATGATAGGTAGGAGCGTTACTGTCCAGAGCCTGTAAGAAAGTGACGGCCATTCCGGAGCGCAGCATCTCGTGATGCTTGGATATTCCACCAAGTTATCCATCCACCTCCATGTCTACGCCCAGTAGTGTACAATGCTTAGCAAATTCACGTCGGGCCGTCGCCGCAGGAACAAACTCAAATATTGTGGGTGGACGGGGGATAGATTGGTGCACCACCAGCAAGCGACCTCCGTAACCCGTAACAAATAAGAAAGAAGGAAAAAAGAAGTAAATCCAACCAATCAAACATCGATAAATTAGTATTCGTGCCACTACATGGTACCGAACAATCCGAGGACGGAGAAATCAATCTCGCGAGTAATCCGATGGTAGCAATTCACCAGGACCTAGCCATACATTGTCTTTTGTCTGGCATCTAACATGAGGACGGGTACTACGGAGTTTACTAAAAGAGAGGATCGGATGCCGAGGACTCCAGAAAGCCATAGAACCTGCAGCCAAGCCAGGTCATAATCAGTCAACTGGAGGGAAGCTGCTCAGCTGCAGGCAATAGAGACACACAGCCACCCCCAAAGAAAGAACCCGAGCAGCTCTGCCGTCACAACGTCATCCCTGGCACCTCGTGGCCCAAAGCTAATGGTCTCGTTCGTCACCTTCGTCACTCGACTTGAACGGCGTGCTGCAAGCGTCAAAGGAAAAAGGGCCATGAGCACCAATCAAGGTACATACAGTACCCCAACTTTTGCGTCCGTAATTGTGACATACTCTATGGTAACCCAGATTGAATAGATGCGGTCTGGGCTCTGCAAAATCCAGTTTTCCTTGAATAGTCAACCAACAAAATCTCATACTGACGATTGTTTCTACTCGTAACAAAAATCCTCAATTTCTCCCTCTCGAATTCTTCTGGGTTCTCTACTCAACGTGCCAAAGCGAAACTCACCAGCAGCAGACCTCAGAAACCCGCCAAACTCTTGTCGCTACCTAACCTAACAAACCAATTGAGGGGTCCGTCCAGCTCCTACCTAAAATCCATTTGGGTAAGACCAGTGAGGTCATACCCTTGTAGGCGCCAAAATCGATAAGACCGATTACGTCCTTTCCCAGGCAGTGAGGGGTCCTAATTTCCCTCCCAAAAGTTCCAAAGTGCCCCCCTCCTGTAGTCTGGTGCACCTATTGTATTTTGCGACCGGAAACGGGCAACAAATTCCCATGCGCCATTAGAGCCACACACAGGCAATCCTTCAGCCTACCGACGATAATTTTCAGTACCGTTCCCCCTCAACCTCCTCCAACCCCACAAGACAAGCACTGCAAGTCCAACAAACGCAAGAGAGCGAGAGAGCATCATGGGCCTTACCGGTCACCGGCGACGAGCTGGTTCCAGCGCCAGTATGTCCACCGCCGTTTGCTGTCGAAAATGTGACATGGCCCCCAGCTCGGATACTGACGGAATCACCTTGCTCTAGGTCGGGCGTCATCCGCTGACGAAAATGAAAGCGACACCACTGTTGTTGAAGGTGAACAGGGAAATGGTAAGCTTCAAACCTTGTTCGCCGTCTATAGGCAAAGTTTCAAGTGCATTTCTGACGTGGAATTATATAGTTCTCGGCCATATTATCTCTCAACTGAGGCCCGGCGCCGATCTGAGCCGGGTCGTCTTGCCGACTTTCATCCTCGAGCCAAGAAGCATGCTGGAAAGAATCACCAAGTCCGTCTTGTCCCTGCAGAGTTCTTGATCATGGCTGGTACTGACCGACTTGTCACGCAGCTTTATGTGCCATCCAGAAATGCTTCTGCCGATACCCCAGATCGAGGATCCCGTAGAGCGCTTCGCAGCTGTCGTCAAGTTTTACCTGAGCGGTTGGCACATTAGACCTCCGTTCGTTGATCCCCTAGCTCCGCCGCCTTCGAAGGAGCCTCACTGCTGACACAATATATACCAGCGGCGTCAAGAAGCCCCTGAACCCGATTCTTGGTGAGGTCTTCACCTGCTACTGGGACCTCCCCGACAAGACGCGGGCCTACTATATCTCTGAACAGACATCACACCACCCGCCAAAGTCTAGCTATTTCTACATGGTCCCGGAACATCACATCCGGGTTGATGGTACTCTGAAGCCACGAAGCAAATTCCTCGGCAACTCGGCAGCCAGCATGATGGAGGGTACGGCCGTCCTGACTCTACTAAACCGTGGCAAGGATCCGAAGAAGGGTGAAAAGTATATATTGACTCAGCCAAACATGTATGCTCGCGGCATCTTGTTTGGTAAGATGAAATACGAGCTAGGTGACCACAGTTTTGTGCGCTGCCCCGAGCTGGGACTCGTTGCCGATATTGAGTTCAAGACGAAGGGCTGGGTGAGTGGAACGTATAATGCTATTGGAGGTACCGTCCGAAACGAGCACACTGGCGAGGCACTCTTCGAGCTTAGCGGTCTATGGAGCGATGAAATGGTTATTAAAGACTTGAGAGTAAGCAAAATCCACAACAGCTCGACTTGTTCTTTGGTGGTTGCTGACAATACATAGAATGGCCACAAGGAAACATTCTTCAACGGAGCTACAGCAAGACCCTCCAAGCCACAAGTGAGGCCATTGGAGGAGCAAGATGATCGCGAATCGCAAAAGCTTTGGGCAGCAACAGCACGAGCTGTCAAGGACAAGAACCATGAACTTGCCACGGATGAAAAGACAAAGATCGAGGACATGCAAAGAGAAGAGGCCTCTAAGCGGGCCGCCGAGAACGTCGAATGGCACCCAAGGCTGTTCAGGGCAGTCAAGGGAGGTCCTGGCGGTGAGGAAGAGGGAGAAGAAGAGCTGGAATGGATCATCAATGCCCACATGTGAGTCAATTTGGTTCTGTCTTTTTGTTTTGGGCCGAGGTACTAAAACATTCCAGTGATGGTGATACACCACAAAAAGTGGCAGAGCAGGTCATGGCCATCTACCCTATCCTTCCAGGACAGAAATCTTCAGATCGCAATGTAATTCCACCCCACACGGAACATGCAGCATCGGCAAGCAAACCCGCTACTGAAAAGGCTTCGAATGACTTGATTGACTTTGGACCAAGTGAGGACTCGGCTCCTGCCGTCGCTCCCGTACCAGCAGAAAACCCAGCTGTCGCTGCCGTTGCGCAGAACCACGCAAGCAAAAGTTCAACCGAAATCCGGCAATTGCTCTCGAGCACTGGACAAAAAGCTCCAGAAGGCCCTCTGATTGACTTTACAACAGATATGAAACACGATCTGCCAAAGACACAGCCGACCCAGGCGCCACTCAAGAGAAGCGAGACGGAGGAGAGTAATGATGCATTCTTTGATGCTGAATCATGAGTCACGGTCGACTGAGGAAATCTTGAGAACCGACGCATGGGTATGAAGCAGAGGCAACCTGTGCTGGCAACGACGGTACTGCGTACAGCTCACAGAGAAGGATTGAAAGACGGGCTCTAGACAGCGGTCAATCGCGCTGCATTTGCGCGGGCAAAGATTTGTTCTTGAATACAGGCTACGAGACGAGAGGTGGGCATTACGCGGGCACATCAATACCATTTCACGCATTCACATTGTCAATAGTAAGCTCAAGCATGGTACAACTGGTTATCGACAATTGTGATTATAAAGTAGGACTACGCCACATATAAGAGAAACACCAGAATCATGCCGACTTGTCTTCTCCCACGAAACCATTCCGAGAACGCCATTCTTTTCCTAGCAATAGTGTACTGCTTTACTGATTGACTTGTCAGAGCCCCATGATTTGGACCTAGAATTGTTCCTCTCACGTACCATGAGATATACCGCACGAAGAGACTGATGGGTGATGCACACCGAGGTTGACAGCGCCAGATGATTTGACCGACGGTCGACGGAGTATATCCGAGATCACAGCAACTGCGTGACTCGGATGTCTGCCATGCGTTGGAGGGTTTTGGTGTAAAACCGCTCCACTCTTGTCAATAATAGACGCCTTAGCTGTGGATGGATGTCTTCTCAAGTAGACGTAATGCAGGCCCTTTTCCTGCCTGCTTGTTATCTCTCGCTTTTTGTTGGCATATGAGCTGCGGCCATTGAAGCCTAGTTTCGCAGTGCGCGGCTGTGATGCATCCCGGACTCGTCAAGAAAAATATCATATTTTCCCTGTAAATTAATACCTCTTCCTCGTAGGTTCGGGGCTCGGACTCCTGCTGACGCTCTTTGCATCGCGGCCGCGCTCCTTGAGCCACTTCTTGGTAGAGAGAGTAAGGTCATTGTCGAGCTCGGGGCTGGGGTTCTTGCGGTGGATAAAGTTGCAAAAGCCGCCTCGGACACAGCCCTCGCCCGAGTTGAGACGACAACAGGCCTCGCGGAAATCGGTAACGGGGCTGAGCTCGCAGTAAATGGGGCGGCCGGCGTACCAGCGCGAGTTGAGCTCGTCGCAGGCCTGCTGGGCCGAGTCCTCGTACTTGAAGCGGGCATAGACGTTGCCAATCAGGTGGTCGTTTGTGTTGTCGCAGACGACGAGCTCCTCGACCTCGCCGTACTTGCACAGCTCGCACCACAGGTCCTCGTAAAAGGCGTCAAAGTGGTTGGCGCACTGCTCGGGCGTCAGCCGGTTCGGGTTCTTGGCGTCGTGCGCCGGGTTCTGGTACATGGACGGCAGCAGGATCGTCTGCGAGTACGACGGCTTGACGTGCTTGCGCGAGCAGCGGTCGCCGTGCCGGCAGGCGCCAATCTTGTAGTAGAAGGAGCAGTTGACCTTGTCCTGCTCCGTACCGAAAATGGAGGCGAGGAAGTTGGCCATTGTGAGTCGAGTGTGAGAGATGAGAAGAAAAAAGGTTGAAAAGTCGGGTTTTGTGTGTAGTTTTTTGGTCTTTAAGCCAGAAGCTTTGGTCTTCTTCTCTTTCTTTTTTCTCCTCTCCTTCTATCGCAAGTCTTTTTCGCGTCGGGGAATGCTCGAATCAATGGCCTAAAGTCGGTAGTCTTCTGTCGCGTGAAACTTCAGAGTATCGTCGTAAAATGCGCAAAAGATCAAGATGGGAGATTTTCGTATGTAATGCGACGTGATTGATGTTTTTGTTGCGCGCAGAATGTTCACAAATCCGTCCTTGGATGTTATGAGCGGCGTGGTTATCGAAGTTTCCATGGGTCTGCTGGAATGGATGGCGAAAATGCCAATTGAACCGACTTTGGGGTAGCTGATGACAAATGGTCTGTGCTTTTGCCCAGCTATGGGAGGAGGCGAGTACAATGTCAATGTCAGCCAAAGGTACGTACCTACAGACGCTGCCTAGACGCTTCTGGCAGGAACTTTAGGTTCTACCGTGTAGGCTTGCCAGGCCTTCATTGGTGGTGTACCATAGGCGCTATTTAGCGATTGATTGGTGCACTGTTTTCATGAGAGTGCAATTGATGAGATTGCCACCCTGCATATATCGTAGAATCTGGATAACCAATAGATCGACAAAACATCAGAAATATGGATATGTCCAATTCGCCCACAAAGAATATGCCATTCTTGCATTCTACATCTGCCGAGAAACAAGACGTTTTTTGTGTTTCGTATTGGTATTACAAAATCAATTTCAAAATAAATAAAAATGAATGTAAAACAACGATTAACAACCAGCAGTGACCGTTGGATCTGGGTCCCTGGGGTGGGAGATCAGGCTCGCTCGTCCGTCATTGACTCAACACGCAATATTCTCATCATAATGCTGGACCATCTCCAGATGAGCTGGTCGACCCGACTGTCTGTCTGTAGGAAGGTGGTGTTGTCATTTCACCCATGTCTCTTGATGACTACT